CCACCAGGGAGGGCCTCTTCCCCCTTTTCAAGCTTACATCCTCTACCTGTGATTCAGGCACAATAACAAGTCAGGTGATGGTTGTGCCAGAGCTGTTCCATGGGTTATACTCATCAGGTCTGTGACTTTGGACTCAACTTCTGTGTAATTCTTTTCCCTTTTCCCCAAATCTAGCACAAGGCAGGGCATGTGCAGAAATTCTTGTCAGACTGTGCTTGAACCTAAATTTCTAAGTCAAGGTTCCCCACTGGGAAGAAGAAGGGAAAATGTCATCAGGGTGATTGAGTCCTGGGCTCCCTGAGTAGAGGCAGATAGTCAGGGAGAGGCTGCAACCTAGGGGCCGTAGGACATCTGGGGTGCGGGTGGGGAGGAGGCCCGTGTGTGAGCTGGTGAGAACAGAAACTGCTAGTACAGAGAGCCATAGTGGCCAGTTGCTTGGCCGAACGCAGCCACCCTCTACTGCCCTCTTCCAACTTGGGGTGGCCACATAGGCACTTTGACTGCCTAGATTTGTGTTTGAAAGTGTTATAACCCAGCAGAAACCTGCCATCTTCTTTTCAGGCATTCCCAAATAATTAATTACTCAATGTTTAATTTTGTTTCTCTCAAACTGCCAGTAGAACTTATTGACCTTTTTAAAAATGTTCTTGAAAACACCACCACCATTGTAGATCTTTTCATACATTGGTTTTTGTTGATTTTTTTCCACTTTTACCCCACCCGGCTGTCAAACATCCTCATTTTTTTTTTCTTTTCTTCTTCCTGGTTCAGAAATTAGATGGACTCGTTAAACTGCGGACAGTTCGAGAGGCGCCAGCTGAATGCATCTGCCCCCCAGGTAAGCGGATGTTGGCTACTCGACATCCATAGGCCTGACCTTCTCTCACCTGTCTCCTCAAAACTGCAGATGTCCTGGGCAAGAGGATGGCCTGCGGTTTCCAGCTCATGGCGCCTTGTCAGCCTTACCCAGGCCTCTCAATTTTCCCAGGCAGGTTCACTAATCAGTGATCCCAGCAGGACTAACTCACTGACTGGGTTTGGTGAGGATGCTAAGAAACCATCAAAGATGACTTATAGTAAAGGTTTAAATACTTGGAAAATAACAGCCATCCCTTTCTAAAGACGGGTACAGAGGAGTAGACCAGGCCTGCAGCATCAGTGTTGTCACTTCCCCTTGCTCTGTTTTAAACATGGCGTGGTAGGTAAATAATGTGCTAATAAAGTTTTTTGTTGTTGTTTTTATTTCTTTTGGTTGAGGGAGAAAAAGGAGGAAAGAAACATCATCTAAATTAGTCAAATAATTGTGTGTGTATGTCATACTAGTGAAAGTGGAAGGTGGTAATACTTATCAGACTTCCCACACGCCATCCAGGGTGAGAGGACACCTGGCCAAGCCCAGTGGCTCTGTCCTGACTTCCATTGGCCAGCTTGTTTGGCATTTCCCAATCCATTTCAGCTGGTTGAGAAACCGCTCACAAAGAACAAGTAACTCATTGTTAGGATGTGCCTAGTGGGCCTCTTGTGAAAATTCAGTCTGTGAGCAACCAGTGAGAGAAAATTTTATGGTGGAACTTGAGCTAGCCTTTCGAGTTTTTAATAAGAGGAAAAAGGACATGACAGCTAATGATATCATGAACAGATTAGCAAGTCAGCATTTCAGTTCAGTGGGGGGATATATTCTGACCACAAGTGAATTTTTGGGTTATCTGCAAAATACATGAAGTGAGAATAATTCCCCCTTTTCCCTTTTCCTTACCGAGTGTTATATGAATATAATTTGTGTGAGTTATATGGATAAGTGTTTCTTAAGCCAGGAGTCAGCATGCATTCATGAGATTGGAAATCTGTTGCAGAGCATTTTGAAATTTTGGAACACATAGATTAGAATAAAAAATACTGGCTGAAGTTTTTGTTTCAGCTATTTGTATTTGTAGATATGAGCTACATAGTGAGACAGAATGAGTTTCTTGCTGTGGGTTTGTTGAGAATTGGCAAATATGGGGGAGTTGCCTGTGCCACAAAGTGTGACTCAGGCTGCCACCTGAGGCTTCCTCACACACCTTCCCCCAAAGAGATGTCTGTTCTCCAGCACTAATATGGGCTCTCCACACGTGCAGCTAACCCATGTTCCTCTGTTCTCTGCTCATGGTTTACAAATGTTTGTTTTTGATTTGGAGATAATATATGATGTGATTGAAAAAAACTTAAGTACTATAGAAGAGTACACATAAAAAATAACTCCTTCCTTTCTTCTGTTCTCCTTTGCATAGGGCCTTTCCTAGTTTGCCAATGTGTTTCTAGAGTATGCTGGTTGATAGAACATTCTGTCTACAGTCCTGCCACTGCCAGCTGCCATGACTGCAGAGCCCTTGTGTGGCTGTGTGACTGAGGAACTAGGTTTTACATTTGTAATTAATTTTAATTAAAATCACCACTTGTGGCTATGGTATCATACAGCCCTGTCTGGAAGCAGTTTTGAATACATTTCAGCAAGCAACTCCCCTCCTGTTTTTATATAAATAGTATCCTACATCTTCTTTCCATGGCTTTTTTTTTTTTTTTTTTTTTTTGGCTTGTGGTTTGCCTTTGAGATAGACTGAATCAGCCAGTGTGCCAGAGAGTAGGTGTGCTTCCTTATTTTGGGGAGATGTAGAAATACTGTCAAGCTGTTGGAGTGGCCTTTGAGGTACCCAATCCGCCTCTCCAAAGGACATCTTTTACTTTGTTTACTCTCTTTATTCTCTCCTTCCCCATACTATAGGCATCAGATGTACAGCTTTGCATTTCCAGATCTATATATTACATCATGATAACCACCAAGCCTCTAGTATGATCCATACAGCTGACTCCTCTACCTGTTCTCCCTCTTCCCCGCTGGTAACCACCATTTTACTGTCAGAAACTAAAGGTTTGTTTTTAGTTTTGTTTATTTATTTGCTTTGATTCTTTATTTTCCATATCTATTATAAGCAAAATCATACATTGTCTTTCTTCTGTCTGAATAATCTCTTAGCATAATCCCCTCAGGTGCACCCATGTTGTCACAGATGGCAAGATATCACCTTTTTTGTTTGTTTTTACAGCTGAGTAGGATTCCATTGTGTTCATAGACCACATCTTTAGCCACTGATCTGTTGGTGGTCACTTAAGCAGTTCTATACCTTGGCAGCACTAATTTCCAGTACCAGCAGCAGTATACCAGGGTGCTCTTTCCTCCATATCTTTGCCAACACTTGCTCTTTCTTGGGTTTTCATTCTAACAGGTAAACGGTGAACTCTCATTTTGTTTTTTGATTTGTATTTCCCTAATACTAAGTAATGAAGAACATGTTTTCATGTGTCTGTTGGCCATCTGTGTGTCTTTGGTGAAGTGTCTGTTCAGATTGTCTGCCCATTTTTAAATTATATTGTATTTTTGTTGTTGTTGTTGAGTTTCCATCCTGTGTTCTCAGATCATGCCAGGTCTGGATCATGATACCCACTTGCAATTCCAGAAAGGTAGGAAGAGGAGATTCAGAGTTGGTGACTGGCGGGAATATTCTGGAGGGAAAGAACAATGGCTCTGTAGCCTTTATTGGCATGTTCTTTTGGAACATGGGTGAGAAAATGCTGGCAATAGAGTCCACAAGTGAGGAAACTGGAAAAGAAAAGCGAGCATTGAACTTGGGTGCTCTTGTCAGGCACTAACGGCATCCCAAAGCCTTGGTGCAGAGCCTGGGGCCCCTGCCCCTTCACACAGTTCACATTGGTTTCTAAGTGGGCTCTACTAACTCTGGAAATTACTGTTAACTTTTCAGAAAGCTGTTAATACTTTTCATTTCCTTTTTTGCCTTTTTTGTTTCCTTGCATAATGTTCCAGTGGTATTTTGCATGTGGTTTCTAAAGGATGTGAAGTACGCTTGCAGTGTAGGGTGACTTTCCAGAAATTAATAAACAGATTAAACAGAGTTAGATTTTGCTGCTTTGTGAAAATGTTTGGAAGTTTGAGCAGGGGAGTGAAACTTTACAGAAGAGAGCATGGAGTGTAATGTAGAAATGATATAGAACCTGATACATTTCATCCATAGTTTATGGAAAATGTTACAGGGCAGAACAGGTTTCAGGGCGGAACAGAAGTAGTGAAAGTTACTGGTACTCAGCTTGTCTCCTGTATTTGTTGGCTTAGGAAAGAGCTTAGTGAAGAGGAGAGGTCTCTTATAACTTGTACTTTAAAATAAGAAATTGTTAACTCTTTTGAATTATTTGTAGAATTTAAATTTTCGTTGACTTGGGTTTGTGGTAAAATTAATGTAATGGCCATTTATAGCAGACTATACAAAGTTGAAGGAGATAATCTAATTTTATTTTTGACCATACTTGTCTGCCAACTTCATTCATTCATTCATTCATTTACTAAGTCATTCATCTCTCCCTACCCTGTCTTGTGCTTGTCCTGTGGGAAATATTGCCTAGAATCATTAGAAGAAATGCAGAGCCAGTGATTGGAAGGCGATATCACAGGACTAAGAACCAAGATATACTGAGACTGAGAAAAGAGTCCTAAGAAAAAGTTGTACAGCAATTTAGAGGAGGGGTATATCCCCTGGGACCAAGAGGACCAGGGCAGGAGAAAGATAATAGTTTAATAGTTGGGTAGGGTTTTAAAGACTGATTGGCATTTTTGTCAGCTGGGTTGGGCGACTTAATTCATGAACCCAGCATCCTGAGCAAAGGCAAAGGGTGTGATGTGATGAAGAATGATGGCTGAAAGGTGGTAATGGGAGGAAAGGAGAGTCTTAGTCAGGGAGAGATGTGGACTTTATTCCATAGCACCCAGTTGAAGGAGTCTGAATAGAACTTATGGTTAAGAGGAAGATTCAAGAAACAACACAGAAGATAGACGGACCTGGTTTCATCAAAGAAACCCACTGAGAGGGTGCTCAGGGTGGGCATTGTCTTATATTACCCCTGCAAGGTCCCCCCAAGTCTTGAATAGTGCAGGGCATGCAGAGGAGGGTTGATGAATATCTGCTGAATGACTTTGCTGGCAGAGAGGTCATGAGAGATTGAATGAGACCACAAGAAGTGATAGCAGGGAATAGCTGTGAGAGGGGGTGGGCCATGTGGTGAACAACTCTCACAAACAGGATGGATCGCTCTGGAGGGGACAGAGGTGCCCAAAGCTGCAAGCTAGGGGAAGTGTGATACCTGGACAGAAACACGAAATCCCCAAAAAGGGATTAAAAGGGATTTGAAAAGAATGATGGTGGGTGTGGACTTGGACAGTGGCTTTACAAATGAATTTGTACACCTGCAGATGACTGGAAGAGAACAATGAGAAGCCTTCTGTTAAGGCATAATCTAGCCACTCTGAACCTATTAATTATAAAATGTAGCATGTCTTATAAATACCGGTGTTGAAATTTAATTGACAGCTGGAGATTTGGAGATTTTCTTGTGACCACCAGAGGGAGCCCACTATATTCATTAAATTCTATAGAAATGTAACAAAAATTTAAAAGGATAATTAATATATATTTTAAAATACTAGAAAGCATTCAAAAATTTAAACCCACCTACAAGGTATATTTTTCTACTTAAATTGATGGTCCCTCAGGTTTTTCTACAGAATGTGTGTGGGGAGGGCGCAGGGTAGCTGTGCCTTTCAGGACAGTCAAGAGGTTGGTTTGGAAAGGTTATGATGATCATATGAAAATAAATAAAACAGCCACTAGTAAACACATTCCTACAACATCTCCCCACTCACCCAGTAGTTACTGAGCATTGTCTGATTTAATCCCAGTAGAGGATTCCCAAAGCTGTGGGGAAGGGTCCTCTCTGGTGACACAGTAGGTTAAA